AAATGAAAATGTGAAAAGTTGCCTTCGCAACTACATGAAAAAATTTACAATATTTTATTTTAGTTAATATTTATTAAATTTTTATGGTTTTAATTTTAGCTAATATAACACTAATAAGATAAAGAATATTAAATAAGAAACACACATCATCTTTGAAATGATTTCCTGTTCGTTAAATTCATGAATCTATTGTATTTTTTCCCTTTTTATTTGTATTTGTATTAAATATCTGTATTTTCTACTATTTTTTTTCTGTCTCTTTCATTACTGATTTTATTTGGTTTTTAATTATTTGTTTAATTTGTTCAATTTTGCATGGATTTCTCACTGTACACAGCCGAGTTGCAGTTGCATCGATATATGCACGTACAGTTTTTGTCGTACTACAAAATGCTGCAATGTCAAGTACTAAAATTGCACTGAAATTAAATGGAGAGAGAGGGATGGATCTTGATGAAAAACTCTTTTATTTAATAATATAAATACCTGCAACAAGACTGATTAAAACTATCGTCTCACAGCAGCTTTAGTGCAGCGATCATGACAAAAACACCACGATATGCAGCCAAAGACAAGCAGGGCGAGCATATAAAGTGCTCACATTATAAATGGATTGTGTAAATGCCACAGTGTGTGTGTGTGTGTTACTGCTGTTTGAGGAAGAGCGCCGCTCCGCTCTGGATCCATGTGTCATGATCTCCAGCACACGGCAGCTGCACGCTTGTCACCACACGCTGACGCTCGGCGCTGCTGTACACAGGCAGGGAGATGCACTCGTCCGGAGAATAACTTCCCACGGCACTCTGAAACACACACACACACACACACTCTATAACGCACAGCCTTCACTGAAAACATCAGAGGAGAAAGTGTGTGTGTGTGTGTGTGTGTGTGTGTGTTACCTGCAGGATCCAGGCCATGTAACACGCAGGGACGGCAGACACACTGGGAGAGTCATGATGGCTCTCAGCCAGACGATTTCCATCAAAAGCACAACCTTCCAACTGCAAGCCGCCAACCTACAGACAGAGAGAGTTCAGTTAACACGGACCGGCAGAGTTCAGTTCAATCCTGTTAAACATGAGCTTCTGTACCTTCACTTGTAGTTTAGCTTCAGCAATCTGACCCCTCCAGGACGTGACAAACTTCAGACTGTCCATAGAGCAGCTCATCAACCTAACAGAAAGACAGAAAGACCACATCAAAACAAAGCATTTCATTCCCCCCCCCCCCAAAGTTCACTTATGATAGCTGTAATTTTATTTTTATTAATAATTTTCACGATATGATTTCTGCAATGCACAAAACGCTGGTGGAATCGCAGAATCGGGATCTAAAAATGGAATTTATCGTATAGCATTTAACAAATTTTCGATTAATTAATCAAAATTAGGGCTGCAAAATTAATTCAGTTCAAACAGCGATGTGGACTAGCATCAGTCATTATTAAACCACATAAATGTACTTCTCAAAGTAATAATAATAGTAATATTTTTAATGCTGCTACTACTAATAATAACAACAACTGATTTTATGAAAAATAATTTAAATATATTACTATTGTATAATAAAATGTACTTCTCAAAGTAATAATTGAAATAACAACAACATTGATTTTATGGAAATGATATGACATGAAATATATTAGTATTATGTAGTAAAATGAAATTCTCTAAGTAGTAATAATAACCATATAGATTAATATTTAATATTATTATAACTATTAAATCAATACATTTTTTACATCCAAGTTGTAATATATACAATTAAGTTTTATTTTCATTTGATTCATTTGAAATGTTTTCATTTGAAACTTTTTTTTAAATGATTCAGTTGTTATGTTTTATGAGCTCATGAGATCATGAGATCTGTTTACTGACCAAAATGTAATCAAACCATTAGAATAGAATCCAGAAAAATGAAAACGGAAAACAGAATTTAGAAAAAAAAACTATTTTCCCCCAAAATTCCCCTTCAAACATTGAAATGTGTGGGAATTTAGGCTGTTTTTGTAAAGACTTCTTTACGTAAATGAGCTCACTTTAGTGCAGCAGGAGTATGTGATTTAGTTTAGTAGTTGTGAGTTTAGTTTAACAGGTGTGCAGGTGAAGTAAGTTACCTCAAGGTTTCAGTTTAGCAGGTGTTTGTTACATAAGAAACTATAAGTTCAGTTTAGTAAGTGTATGAGAAATAAATCCGCTCGAGTTTATCAGCTGTACTGTATGTTACCTGAGGAAATTTATGTGACCCCAAGTTTGGTTTAGCAGGTGTTTATTCGGTAAATTACCTTTTATCACGTTTATTTTAGTATGTGTAGGTGACGATTCCAGTCCATCAATTAATGATTTAATTTAACTTTAAACCATTGTTTCTGGCTAAAATATGAGTCCATAATCCATAATGACACTTCCTCCAGTAAAAAAGTCCATCTCCTGTTGTCTCTCACATCAAAATCCACCACATATTTGTTTAGAGCTGTTTTGGCTTGTAAACGGTGCTTGATCTGTGCAGATTTCTCTCCTGACTCAGACCAGACCACTTTTACACCGGAGGATGAGTTATTATGGATTATGGACTCATATTTTAGATGGAAACAACGGTTTGAAATTAAAACTGATGGACTGGAGTGGTGTGGATTACTTGTGGATTATTGTGATGTTTTTATCAGCTGTTTGGACTCTCATTCTGACGGCACCCATTCACTGCAGAGCATCCATTGCTGAGACACTGATGCAATGCTACATTTCTCCAAATCTGATGAAGAAACAAACTCATCTACATCTCGGATGGCCTGAGGGTGAGCACATTTGAGCATATTTTCATGTTGGGTGAACTATTCCTTTAAATTTAGTTTAGTAGGCAATGTTATTTTAGTATCAAGATCCTATTATAGTTTTATTAATATTTTGAATTGTAATATTAGTTTTTTTATTTAAATTTTAAGGTTTTTGCAGTTCTGTTGTTGTAGTTTTGTCATTTTTATTACTTTTTAAAAAAAAATTCTACATAGTTCGTTTTTATTTCTGTTTTAGCTTTAGTTCCCTTTCAGTCGGTCACTCTCGACGTCACGTCGGAGGACCGACGAAATTGGGATCTCGCTTAGAGGGACCATTTTAGTACATGAAGTTATACTAAATGAAAATGAGAAAAAATTATTTCAGTTAAACTTCATTCACAAGTCTTTTTTTTATAAATTTTTTTATAGATTTAGTTAAGTATAATAACCCGGGCATAAGTCTTCTCAGTTCACTTCAGAAACGTGTGTTTCTCAGGTGTGTGTTCAGTTTATCACCTGGCGGTCTCCTGTCTCAGTGCGTTCAGGAAAGTGTCCGGGTGGAAGAGCTCCGACAGATCCAGCATCTCCGACAGCAGTCCACCCCTCTCTGCCCTCTCCACCCATCCCTGCGCACACACACACACACACACACACACACACACACACACACAGAGCAGTGATTGGTCGTGGGGATCAGTGTGTGTGATGACTGAAGTGATTGGAGTGCTGCTGGTGTCAGTTGTACAGTAACAATCGCCGTTTCCTTCTCAAATCTCTCCCTGCACCTGCTGCTTCTCCTCACAGGACTTCAGCATCCGTCTTTATATGTTTATCAGTAGCACATTTAAGACATCAACATACGCTCTGCGTGTTTTTGTGCAACTGTTGCAGTAATAAAACTCAGTATTGATGAACAATAAAAACAAGTTTTATGCTTAGAATGAACAGAACATTATCATCTGTTCGTGTGAATGTTAATATATACTACTGTAAGTTTGGGGTCGCTGAGATTTTTTTTTTACATTTCAGTTTTTTGAAGTCTCTTCTGTTTACCAAGGCTGCATTTATTTGAGCAAAAATACAGTAAAAACAGTAATTTTGTGAAATATTATTACAATTTCAAATAGCTGTTTTTTAAGTGAATATATTGTAAAGTGTAATTTATTTCTGTGATCAAAGCTGAATTTTCAGCATCATTACTCCAGTCTTCAGTGTCACATGATCTTCAGAAATCATTCTAATATGCTGATTTGCTGCTCGAGAAACATTTCTGATTATTATCAATGTTGAAAACAGTTGTGCTGCCCAATATTTTTGTGGAACCTGTGATCCATTTAATTTTTCAGGATTCACAGATGAACAGAAAGTTCAAAAGAACAGAGTTTCTTTGAAATAGAAATCTTCTGTAACATTATAAATATCTTTACTGACACTTATGAACAATTTAATGCATCCTTGATGAAAAACATATTAATTTTTGTTTAAAAAAAAACTTTTAAAAACAGTAGTGTAGTGCATGAATTGGCCTTTGTATAGCATATTATTAAGCAGTAATATTATAAATAAAATAACTAAAATAAATAATTAATTAAAAATAATTATTAAATAAACAAACAGTTTACATTTATCAATTTAATAATACTAATAGCGAACAATCTGCATCTAAAATTAAAATAAATTTCTGTTATTTCCAGCCGAATTAACTCAGAAACACGTCACATTACAGATTCTAATGTCTTTCAAGGTCACTTCAGCAAGATCTGTATTCAGGAACTAGCAGAACACTTTCCCACACAAACACGCTCGATTTCCTGTTTATTGGAGTCGGTGCGTTTCTGCAGGTGTGTGTTGTGCTCAGATCGGTTCGCCGGGAATCGACGGCTCACATTTACAGATTTCACAGATCTCTGTAAACAGCTGCTGCTGTGGAAATTCGACTCACTGGAGCAGGTGTGCGTCATAACAGCGCTGACGGATAAGATACAATTATCTGTTAGAGGAGCCGTCCTGAGGTCGATTACAGTCCATCTCGGGGTGAGTTTCGGCACGCGGACCTCGATGACCTTCATTTTGGTCAGTCTGTGCGTTCGCAAACCCGTTTTATAAGCATTTTAGGGGCCAAATTTGACCCTTAAGGCCCACAGCAGTCAGTTTCTTGGAACAAAAAACAATCATAATTTAGTTTTCAGGATCATTTCGGACCCTTAAAATGCTGTTTTTGCTACTGCAAGACTTTCAGACTTGTTCTGGATGGACTGTGGAGGAAGTCTGAACTCAGAATTGCTATAATAGTGTAAAGCTCTGACACTCTTTCACCTAAATTCTCCCTCTCGAGAACACTCAACCTTCATCCTTCATTGGTTTACAAGGCTGTTTGGTTCAGTTCAGTGCCTGAGGGAGCAGCTCAAATCATCATCATCATCATCATCATCAGTCCAGCTGAAGAAACACATTCATCATGAGGAGTGTTTCTGTGGGCTTGCTCCGCAGGACTGATTACAGTCAAACTGACTCACATCAGCAGCGGTGGACGGATCGGACACGAGTGACAGGTGTTTTGTGGACACTGTGGCTCGTTTCCAGCTCACACACACACACACACACACACACACACACACACACACACACTGTGGCTCTCGTCTCAGACTCGGCCTGTGACTGAACCTCATGAAAACATGTCCAGCTCACATTTCACCACACAATCTAAAGGAACTAGATATATATGCTGCATAAAGAATATGCAGCCTATTATTTTTTACCAAGAGTTTTAGTAGTTTAAAAAAAATTAAAAAAAATTCTCATTCACATATTCACACAAATTCATAATTGATGTAATAAAGTTAACTTTCTACTATATTATAGTAAAACACAGTAATAAAAATATTAAAGGAAATGAAAAGAAATGGCTACAAATTCAATCATGATGTATATATTTTTATTTAAATACTACTTCTACTATTAATAATATATAACACTAATAATTGTATTTATTATCATTTTAAATGATTTAGAAATGTAATTATTGTTGTTATGGTATAAAAACAACAATCAAATCAGACTGTTATTGTTTTAAATGTATAAAATTACAATATTATTTTTTAATATAACTGCTGTAATGCAATAATGATAATAATAATAATTATTATTATTATTATTATGTTGTTGTGTTTGTATAAAAATATATATTTTATAATTATTCTTAATAATAAATATAATAATAATAATAATAATAATAATTAGAGGTCAACCGATTTATCGGTTTTGCCGATTAATCGACACCAAGAGTTGATTGCTTTAACTATCGGTTATCGGCAAAACCCCATGCGATAGTTTTCCCGTCCATTGCTGGAGCGGCTGAGTAGTTTTTGTTTGTTTTGACACGTGACACTGAGCGCTGCACAGAGCAGGACACTTCAGATGCGGATTTAAAACATCGACAATGAAATGGAGCGTATACAGAATAGGCTACTATAGGTCATGTTTTCATATCATTATAAAGTAATTAATTTGTTGACTAGATGCTGCATTAGTGGAGAAAGAGAAATAGTATGTTTGCCATGAAGGCTGAGAGGACGCAAACCTCAAGCGGTTAAACAGTGACCCAAATGTTTAATGTCACGACTGTTACCATCTATTAGTGTCAGTTTATATCCAGCTGGTCACGTTAATGCATTTGTAAGCCAGTGAAGATGCAGATTTAAAGCTGTGATGTGAGAAAGCACACTGATGTGTTCATTCAGCAACAGAAATCCTGCCGCGCTGCAGAGCGCCACTCATTACATTATATTTGTCCCAAATCGTTGCTAATGTGCATAATGACTTCATCCTAGGCTGTAAAATTGTGTATTGTGCATTTTTC